TTTATGTTTTGCTCCGGTGGTGATTCATCTTCTGCACGGATAGAAATCTCCTTATACCTTTTGGCAAATTTCTATTGCTGAATATTCATAAAATGTATAAGGCAACTAATAAGCAGACGCCTTGCAAAAAGTTAATGAAGATCATGTATCAAATGAAATGTTCAAGCGGTCACACATACCTTTTATGTATTCTTATAGGACCTATGTGGTTTTTCTTACGGAATGTATAAGGCTGATGTTTTGGCAAAAATGTATAAGTGAAACACATGAATAAAATAATTGATTTTCGTTTCGTGTGCAATGCAAACTGCTTTCAGACAGCCAGTGGAATTGGCAATTTAATCCCATCTACGATGTCGGATGATCGGTTCGTCAAATGGTTGCAATAATAACCGAAATGATACATTTGCTGCAATGTTGTTGCCTTGGTGGTTGGATTCAGCTGAAGTCATGTCAGATGGTGGTGATAGCACCAACAAACCGACATGAATGACCAATAAGAATCGCATTCTCCTTTCGCTCTGCATCGCTGTCAGGACCTCAGAAATGCTATTGAAGATGGTCGTCGCGTTTGTTTTCAACATCCGTCTAACACCCACGAATGTTTCCGTCGACCGATCATTATTAATATACCTGATGACAATCGCCAACTGCTCGTGGTGGCCACAATCGTTCGTCTCATCTGCAATGATTGCCACTGGTTTTCCTCGCAAGGTTTTCGCAACATTACATTGTGCAACGACCTAATCACGGTTACTTGTGTACTGGCAATTTTTGGCACCTTCCGCCAAGTGTTTTCCAGCACAGGATTGTAGTTAGTCACCAACTGGGTGGCACACTTTCCGCTCCTTCCGAATGTTCACGAAGTGGTCGGCCACCTTTATACCCCGTTCACATTACAGCGTATATCACGTGATATACGCTTTCTTGCAATGAGCACTCATACATCTAGTTTTCACTGGAAATCCTATATTTGAGTGCTCTTTGCAAGACAGTCTATATTACATGATAGAAGCCATAGTATGTACGGGGTATTATATGCTGTTGTAGTTGCAGTTTACTATTACCGTTGCGAGTGCGTTGAACTTGGTCATTTTCAGCGAAACTTGTAGTTCTATTTTTTTTTTCAAATTTTGACCTAAATGCCAAGGCTAATAGGATCATTAAAAAGGTTTAAAAAATATGTAACGATTGGAACAAACTATTTTGACAAGTGAGTAAGACAACAATAGACCAAGGTTTCAATTAGGGAATCCAAAAGCTGTCTTTAAACTTTGTACAGTTGTAAAGTCCATCCTCAGAATTCCTTGAGGTTCTTTTTGAAATTTTTGAGCTCTTTTGAAATACTTCTCAGAAGTCCTCACAACACTTTGGAACTAGAGTTTCAGAAGAATTCAGTATTATCCACAAATTATTACCGGAATGAGCTAATCGGTATTCCCTTGAAATTTTCCTCAAAATCCCTTTGAAATTTCACTCAAAATTTAATCTTCTCTGTATTATTTTCGGAATTATCTTAGAACTATCTGCAGGATTCACTAGAAATTATTCGTAGAATTTTCTTGGAATACTCCCCAGAAATCCTTTGGAACTGTCCACAGAATTCAATATCCTTGAGGTTCTTCCCGGATTTTTTTAGAACTCTTCTAAGAATTCTTTTGAAATTCTTCTCAGAAGTCCACTGGAATTATACTTAGAACTTTTCATGATTATTTCTCAAACACCTCGGAACTGAAATTCCTTTAGAGTTTCAGAATTTTTTCCCGTAATAAGCTAGAAATTATCCTCGGAGTTTGCTTGAAATTTTGCTTAAAATCCCTTTGGAATTTCACTCAAAAATTGATTTTCTCGGTATTCTTTTCGGAATTATCTTGGAACTATCTGCAGGATGCACTAGAAATTATCCGGAGAATTTTCTTTAAATTCTCCCTAGAAATATTTTGGAACTGATTTAAAAATTCAATATCCTAGAGGTTCTTTTCGGAATATTTAAGAACTTTTTTTTCTCAGAACACCTTGGAACTTAAATTTTCCCAAAGTTTCAGAAGAATTTTCTCTGTATTCTCCAGAAATTCTTCCCAGAATGAACTTAAAATTACTATCGGAATTCCCTTGAAATTTTCCTCAACATCTTTTTGGAATTTCATTCAAAATTTGATTCTCTCGGTATTATTTTCAAAATTATTATGGAACTATCTGCAGGATTCACTAGAAATTATTCGCAGAATTTTCATGAAACCATCCCCAGAAATCTTTTCTTTTGGAACTGTCCTCAGAATTCAATACCCTTGAGGTTCTTCTCCATGTTAAGTTGTCCGTCCATTTACCAAAACGTTGTAGTTTTTCTTCCAGAAATGTTCAATAAAGCTTGCCCCTCCATTCACCAGAACTATGCAATTTTTACATAAGGAATTTTCAAATCAGCTTGCCCCTCCATGTAGCAGATTGTTGCAAATCTTACACCATAAATTTTCAATACAAACTTCCCCCAGGAGATTTTAAACCAGAAAATTTCAGTTGACCAGAACGATACAAATTTTCCACCATTAGTAAAAATTGCTTCTCAAATCTTCTGATTGGTGCAGATTTCCTTTTTCCATTTTCACCAGACATTTTTAATAAAGATTGCTTCTCCTATCATCAAAATGTTGCAGGTTTTCCACTAAATAAAGATTGCCCCTATTTTCAGATTTTTCATTATAAATCTACAGTAAACCAGCTTCCCTCCAATCATCAGAATGGTGCAAATTTTAAACCAGAAATTATTATTAAAGTTTGTTTCTCTATTCAGCAGAAGGATACAAAATTAAGACCAAAAATTATCCAAAAAGCTTGCCCATCCGTTCACCAGAACGGTGCAGATTTTCCACCAGAAATTTTCAATACAGCTTAATTTTAAATAAAGCTTGTGCCTTCATTTAAGAAACGAGTGCAAGTTTTCCACCAGAAATATTCTGTTTATTTCATTTATCAGAGCGATACAAATTTTGCACCAGAAATTTTCAATAAAGCATGCTCCTCCATTCACCGAACGTGCACCAAAAATTTTCAGTGAAGTTTGTTTCACCATGCACCTTGTGGTACATTTTTCAGGCTTTGCCTCTTCATGCACCAAAATTGTATAAATTTTCCTCCATAAATTTTAAATGAAGCTTGCATTCAACAAAACGAGGCAAATTATGTACCAGAAAAAAGAATAAACCTTGCTTCTACATTCACTTTCCACCAGAAATTTTCAGTTAACTGTGCACCTCCAAATTTTTAGCGTGATTCAATTTTTCTACCAGAGTTATTCATTTTGATTAGTCCCTCCATGCACACCTTGATGATATTTTTACACCAGATATATTCATAGAAAGCTTTTTCTTCGATTTACAACCACGAAGGTGAATTTTTCCAACCTTAAATTTACCCTCTTTTTTAACCCTCCATGAACTACCTTAAAAAAAAAATACACCAGAAATTTTTTGTATGCAGTTTGTCCCTTCATGCTCCTTTGTTCTGCATTTTTTTCAGGCACCATCTCAAAGGAATTGACGCAATAAAAGGTTTCCAGTGCCCTTATATTATGAAATGAAATTATTTTACCTTCAAATCAAGTTATCAAGAAAGTAATTTTATATCATAATTTTGTAAACGTATTTATAAAAGGTGAGGCAATTGCCCCACCTTGCCCCACCCTGTGCACGCCAGTGCAGGTGTATCTCGCTTTTTACTGTCTGTATACAATTTTCACACAGCCGTACACTAACGGAACCATCAACTCTATGCTTTCTTATCCTCATCTATCGAATAAAATGACATTTTAAGTCTGATATTTGACGTTAAGCATCTCCAGCTATGTAAATGGTTAACTTCACGCATGAAGTAATACAAACATGATAAGTTAAATTATATAAAACTTGCTGTGGTCCGTCTTACCATACCGGGCGTTCTTACACCGTCCCTACAGTAGTTTGAACGATGATTATGGTTCGTCACACGTTTATGAAAAATTCACGAAATAGGCGGCTATCAACGAAAGATTGAGAGTTGTTGGTGTAATCAATTAAGAAAATTCAATTCAATCCTGATATTGAGCTATCACATTAAATTCTACAATCTTTGATTTGCTAGTTTGGCCTTATTCAAATGTATTTCGATTGCAAACCTATGAATGCTCCAGGCTTTCGGAATTCAAAATCTTCTTGTTTCCGCTCGGTTCGATCCCCTTTGGAAACGATTTGCTACACGTTACACTGCACTGCTCTTCGTACACGTGAATTAGTAAACATTCCATCATGCTTACACGATCCGTCCTCACAAACGGAACCCTTTTGGAATTTCCGAACAATCGAGTTGGGGTACAGGAAGAGCAAGTTGCCCGGGGGTAAAAAACAAAGAACACACTTCTGTAGATAAATACGTGGGCAAAGGAGGGGGCGGACAACTATGTCACGGAAAATGCTGTCTATTGTGGCAAAGAGCAACAGAAAATTAGAAGCTTTTCTCCTAAAGTACAAAACAAGTGCACAGCAAAGGCAAAAAGTTGTGGGTGAGTGTGCCTTCAGCTTTGTTGATTTTTTAGTTTTTAATTCTGTTGTTTCTCCGCTGCTGACAGAGCGAGCAACTATTTTCGAAACTGTTGTATCTACAGTGTGTAAGGGAATTCCGCTCGAAGAATGCTTGATGATGGGATTTCCTTTTTTCATGTTATGTAAAAGAGGGGTGGTTCAATGTGTCGCTGGAAAAAGCGTTTGATGGTCGGGACAGAAAGTGAGCATCCCTAGCTCGTTGGTACGCATAAGTGGTGCTCCGGCATCGACGTCGGAATGAAGGATTTTCCCGGTACACCAAAGTTGTGCAGATTTCGTTGATGTTGTCGTCGTCCCACTAGTGGGGACAAAGTATCAAAGCCTAGTGGTGTAAATAATTTCTGTTTCTCGGGAGTGGTTACAAATTTCCAGATTGTAAGCGTTATTTTGAGAAGATTTTCGACCATCAAAGCATGATAAACTTACCATTGCTGTGCAGTGATTGTCCGTACTGGGGCCCACCGCCGCCCATGCCCCTCCGTTTGAGATCCTGCTCCAGGAAGGACAACCGGCTCAGTGGGTTCGGTTTGACGATGCCCTCGTAGATGTCCAGGTCGTCATGGTTCTTGAATAGATTGTGCCTCGCCACCACGTCCTCCATGCCGGCTTTGTGCAGTTCCGGTATCAGCCGGAGCCAGATCGAAAGCTGGTGCGCCCGGAAGTGGTTCTTCATGCGGGGTTTCATGCCTGTGTGTGTGTGTGAATAAAAAAAAAGAAGTGGAAAAAAAATCACTCGCATATGAGCTTTTATGCGGTCGTCGCTGTCGTACGAACCGATTTCGAGGTACTTTTGATGCACCGGGTCGTACTCGTCCCAGTTGATGCTGCGGAAGCGGTTCCGCTCCTTGGACGCCATGAGAATGGAATCCTGCCGGTGGTGCTCGTTGGGGTTCCTGTGAAAAATGAGAATTTCGTACGCGGATTACATGGGTGCAGCAGCTGGCCTTTGTTTCTGTGGGGGGAACTTAGTGGGTTTCAAATCGGCTTGTTCGTGCTGTGAATTTTGCAGTTGAACATTTAGTTCTGATTCAAACTCTGGACATTTGAGTGATTACTAATTCTTATTTGAATCATTCCGCTCGACGAGCTCGAATAATGGATGTGTGTAGAATTCACGCACTTTCCTTGAAGATGACTGAACAGATATTAGTGCAAGCGGTTTAAATATGTTTGCATCTTATTCCCATAGAACAGTACTGAATTGTATACTGATTGGACGTATGATTTTCGAGGCATGGCAAACATTAAATTTATTCCTTATTTTTCCTACATCGAAACAAAATCAGCAAGATGCTAAAAATGGGCTGTATCAACTTGTCCATGACAACGTATAAACTATATAACATGGATTGTCAGTAGGGCAAGAAGGCTGACTATAATCGAATATGAGTTCCATTTGGTTTTCTGAGTCTTAAACACTCTAACGACTACAACGTAATCTGCTGCGGGGCCTTTTTCAAAAGGAAAATAATAATTTAGTCGTTGTTGTGGTCGATTTTACATATTTTGGTTTCATTTAATGATAGTTACGGGAAGGAACTATCGTAACTAAATTATTGTTGTCCTCAGTGGTGATCAAAATTATGACCAAGTAGTTCCTTCCCTTAAATCCTGCCAATGAAACCAAAATTTGTAAAAAATCGACCACAACAACGACTATATTATTGACGATAACGATAGACAGATTACATCGTAGTCGTAAGAGTGTTTAATACTGAGAAAGCCGTTAAATCAAGCATTTCCCCTCAAGTCCCAGCCGTCGTGAAGTTTTTTTTTGTTCTTCTTAATTTCGATTAAATTTCCAGAATTTCTTAAGATTCCTGGAAATTTTCCAGAAGTTCATGGAGCTGCCAAGAATTTATCGGAACCAACCTTTACATATCTATAAACATACCCAAAAGTCTGGACTGAATCTATTGAGGCAGCCCTTGAGATCTCTGAGTTTTTCCTAAGACCTATAGACGTAGCTTCTCTGAGCTCCTTGACTTCCCTTAACGTCTCGGGATATTCCTGAAGTTTGTAGACCTTTTAAAAGTTTCTGCTGTTCTTTTAAAGCTTATGACATTAGCTTGAAGTTCTGCAAGCTACTCTGAAGTGCCCAAATTTTTAAAAACCTTATCAGAGCTTCATCAAGCGACATCTTTAAAGTTTCTAAAAAAAATCGTTTTCAGTACTTCCCCCGTTTCCGATTTTTATTTATTAAGTTATCTATACTTCCCTGATGCTCTCTAGACTATCTTTAATATGGAAATTGGAGTTTCTATTTGCTATTTGAACCATCGCTATTTTCCTGATTTGAATGGAACTGCCTTACAATCCTCGAAATTTACCTGAAGCACTCAAAACTTCCCTGAGGCTCGCAAAATTTTCCTAATTATCCTGGAACTACACTCTTCCCCCGAAAAACGCAAACTCGGTCTACACGAATTCCATTTACGTTGGTCTCAGATGATTCCGTTTACTCGAGGGAATCGCGTAAATGGAATACACGTATGGGATTTGACCTAATAGGGACCAACATGGAATATCTCTCGATCCTGGACATATAGAAGGTTACTGTCTTGGGCAAAGTTGTTCAGTGGATACCTATAGGCTGGTGGATAGAAGTTCGGATTTTCTCACTACGCGGCGCTAGCGTGCATGAATTAATGATGCCCTAGTTTTTGTGATATCTTGAAATCCTTGTCATCTAAGAAGTGGCTTTATTCGACGAAGTTGTTCAGTGGATCTCAGATTCGGAAAAACTGCTACAGGATACAGGAAAAGTTGGAAATACTGGCAAATTCCCATGAATGTGGGTATTGTGGGATTCGCGGTGATAGCTACGGACTAGCAATAACTGTCCTATGCCATATTGAATTCCAAGACGGCAGCATCTGGTTACAGATAAACTGGATAGTAATGTTAAATACCTCCACAATATGGGTATTTCAGAATGGGGACGATATGTAGAGGCAAAATCGATGTCCGACGCAATTTTGGAATCTACGATGGCAGTCATGTTTTTAAAAAACTGTCAAATACCCTACAAAAGACGGTAAATTGATGGCTGACGCCATTTCGGCATTTTAATTTTTGACATCTGCACGTCGTCTTTGTTGCGAAAATACACAAATTGTAGAGTATTTTATTTCCCACTTTTTCTGAAATCGGCAGCCGCTATTTTTGATTTCAAGATAGTGCTGGACATCGATTTTCGGTCTCTAGACGTCATCTCGATTCCAAATATATCCATATTGAAGGGTATTTAGTAGTATTTCCCACTTTTTCTGAAACCTTAAGCCGCCATTATGGAATTAAACATGGCGCTGGACATCCTTTTTTGGTCACTAGACGTCATCCCGATTCCGAAAATATATATTGAAGGGTATTTAGCAGTATTTCCCACTTATTCAGAAATCGGCAGTCACCATCTTTGATTTCAAGATGGTGCTGGACATCGATTTTCAGTCTCTAGACGTCATCTCGATTCCAAAAATATCCATATTGAAGGGTATTTAGCAGTATTTCCCACTTTTTCTGAAGCCGGAAGCCACCATATTGGATTTTAAAATGGCGTAGGAAATCGATTTACGGGTTTTAGACGTCATACTGATTCCGAAAATATCCATATTCCATGCATATTGGTCTAGATCCACTGAACAACTTCGCCGAAGAAAGCAACTTCCTAGATGGCAAGGATTTACGGTACTCGAAATTTTCCTGACACCTATGGAACCTAATATAAAGGATCGTAAAACTTCTCTGTACGCTCTGGACGGTTTTGTAGCGTTTGGAACAACCCTGAAGTATTCGTAATTTCATTGAAATGATTCGAATTATCCTGAAGCTCTCAGAACTTTTTGAAGGTGATCTTTCTAATGTTAATGAAACTAGGGTATGTGTTCTACTTTTGGCACTAGTGCTTCAGTTTGTGGCCCTAGGGTCATGGTTTTATTTGCGTAAATATATGTTCTATCCTCGTTTGGAAATCAATAATGAAAAGATTGATACAGTGTGAAATTTAAGATAGGACCAATTTATTGCTGTGGTTGTGTTTGTTTGTTTACATTCATCTGCTGCATGTTGCTCTATCCATTCCAATTAATAGAATTGTCCAACACTATTTTGAATCGCTTTTACAACGCTCCAAACTTCTCAGGTGAGCGTGACTATTGTCGGCCACCTCTTTTTCTTCGGCAACCTTTCCATTTTAACTGCGTGTTAATCTACTGTTCTATTATCGGCAACTCAAAATCAGCAGCATTTTGTGGTGGGTATGTTTTATTCAAAGAAAAATCTGACAAAATGCGTTTGCTCAATCGTAAAAACCTAATCAGATTGAAGATGAAACTCTAAGGAATCGTTTGAACACATTCAGCGAAGTGATTTAGTGATAAAATGCAATGCGAATAAATTTTGGTCAATGGATGCTGAAGTCGACAATTACCCTACTTTGAAAGACTCCATATTATATTTTTTTAAAACATTTTTATTGGAAGTTATTAAAAAATAAATAGCGAAAACGTCGTTGTGATACCTACATAAACCAAAAATTAAAATTACCAAATTCAAGAACAAATTTGAATGACGAATGAGGGAAATCAGTTGGCGTAGAAATGCTCAAGAATTGAATTCAACTAGCAGTGCGTCATCACAGCTGGTAAAATACTCACCCCGTCCGGGCAAAGTTGCCCCAGTAGATCATGATCGCCTCGGACAAGGCCACCTCCGACTTGGTGTAGTTCCGCGGAAAATGGCTGAACCCATCGACCAGCGGAGCACCGAACACGTACGGCAAATCTTCGCCGTGCACCGTTCCCATTCGTTGTGGATAGTCGCCGTCCTTGGTTTGATAGTCGAACACATAGAAGAAACACTTGGGACCGGATGGTTCCTGTCCGGGAAGGGGCGGAGTAGGTGCCAGCATATCTCCGGTGTGCACCAAGGGCGCTACGAACTGGGCGTCCGATAGAGCTGCCACCGCGGCGTCCCGCGTGTTGATCGGATGCGTACTGGTTCGTTCCCAGTCGGTATATTCGTTAACTACTGTGTAGAAGATTTCGCTCAGATGGTACGTGTAGGCATTCCTGACGTACGTTCGCAGGATTCGATCCCGGCGTTCGCCCTCGAAGCCACTCTGAATGTCGGCGGCACTGAACCGCCACAGAGCTTCCCCGGTCACCACTCCGAAGAGCAGATCGTACCGACCTGCTGCACCTTGCGACCGTTTCGATGTACCTCGGATGGGCGTTTCGTCGATGTCCTGATTGGTTCGGCCCGGCCGGATCACCACTCCGTCTACTGATGGTCCAAAAGCACTGAGGAAGCTGGGAGGCTGGATGTCCGCCGCGAATAAGTCTTCCAGCGGGACGTCCCGCAAGCAGTCCACGATCTGTTCGTGGTTCTTGATGAGATCTTCCGGTATTGAGCAATTGACTTCTTTCGCCAGCCGCAGGGCGTATATCACGGGGTCCTCCACTAGGGCCCAGGACGAGTAGGCAGACCCGGACAGGAGGATGGCCCGATGGAACAACCCGGGCACCATGGTTGGCGAAGTCATCAGGAAGTTGATACATGCTGCGCCGCTTCCGTGACCGGCCAGCGTCACGATCGACGGATCACCGCCGAATTTGGCAATGTTCTGCTGGACCCAGTGCAGGGCCGCCATCTGGTCCATCAGACCGTAGTTGGCCACCCGGGCCCGTATCTCCGGACTTGGATTGGCATTTAAAAAACCTGAGCATTTCGGTGGGATGAGAATGAGAGAAGGTTAGTAAAGTTGGTTTCAGAAAGTGCAGGGCGTTGGTATTACCTAAGATTCCTAACCGATAATTCAATGTAACTACAACTAATTCTCCGTAACTGGCCAGCACGGTCCCATCGTAGGGGTTCCCGCTGTTCCACTCAAATGATTCTCCGTGTAAAAATACTATAACAGGTAGCTTCTTGTCGCTTTGAGCGGCTGTTGGTGGGAAAGATTGCGACATTAGTTCGAGACTTCGATGGGCGAGAACTATCTGTAACTTACCGTGTGCCGGTGAAAACACGTTCAAGTACAAACAATCCTCCGACTGGTTGATTAAAAAAGGTAGCAAACGTTTCAAGTACTCTAGTCGTCCTTTTGGCATCTTATCTAAAGCTGCGGTTTCGTTATTTACATTCGGCAGCCGTTGCGGGCAGACCGGGCTAAACTTATCGGCTATCCGGACGCCGTCCCACGGCGAGGGCGTTCGGGTTGGACTAAATCTGCGAGAGATGGTGAGAGGTAGGAAAAATGCGGAAGCAAAAATTAATTATGCATAATGGTGCCACGGGAAATGAGAGTAATTTATTTGTTTTATTGATCTCGCCGATATGATTGATATGTATTCATACACGGCCGGTTGGCGTAATCACATAATCGAATTACTAAATGACAATAATTAGCTGTGCATTTTATTGGGAGCGTTTATTTTTTTTCCCGCTGGTGGAATTATGTGGTATCTCTAATGGTGGTAACCGGGGAGCTTTTTGGTAATTTGAGCTTGAATTCATTTGTTGCTTTAAGTTGTAGCCACCTGCTAATAGTCGTAAGCGTAAATAATGTGATTCGGTTGTAAAGTATACCAAGGGTGGTGGGTTCGAGTCCTGATCCGATTGACGATCTTTTCATGTTGAATATTGTTTCGAATCTTCGGATCAAGCCGGAGCTGGTGGTATCTGGGTTCGGAGTTCCAAAGTGGGATAAGTAGGACCGTCATGTGATGGAAAAACTACCCGCAAGTGTGTTTTTGTCTTAAATTTTAGACTTTTCGTGTGGTGGGTCAAATTTCTTTATCTGGATTTTTTTAATAAGGGGGGGCTCAAATAAATGTCATTTTTTATATTTTTGAAAATAGAGACACGCATTATTCTAAAGCTATTTTGTAAAAATAACATTGTTGCCATATCTTAACACTCTCATTTTAGAATTTTTTGACGTAGAACTACGTTTTTCTTTACTATTCTGGAGGTCACATTAAGAAATCAAAAATGAGGCATGTAACGAAAAAAGGAGGTGTTTTCAAACGCATATTTCTCCAAAGCATTAATGTGAATTATGTCATTCAATATACCATTCGACGGCGTAGTTAGTCAGCAATTTTCTGGCGTACAGTACAAATAGTGAAAATACCTAAAAAAAAAACTAACATTGGAAGCATCAAAATTTCCCATACATATGCTTAGACCACATGGTGTCTTTCCTAACAGAGCCATCACATAGTTGGTACCAAACAAAACAAGCCAAAGCCACATTTCCATTTTTTGTAAACTCTTTATTTGTTCCAATTTCAAAATAAATTCATTTCATTTTAACCTAGATGCTCCAGTTACAACAGTTACTTACCAGCCTTAATTGTTATGATATATATATTAGACTGATGCAAAATTTGAAATTTTCGGTCCACAGTGCTCAAACGGTTCCAAATTGGACCCTGATTAGCTTCCCAAAATTTGAACTCATTTAGTGAAAAACTGACTTGGCACAAACCATTTGAAGTTTATATGGGAATTACTATGGAGAAACCATAATTTCGGTTCATATATATCCCAAAATTCACCAGTTCACTCTACTTTATAAAATGATAACTGAGCTTGTTTAAAATTTTCTCAGCAACAACTTTGTTGAAGACTACTTTTCGACCAAATGTAAGGAACAAAAATTATTAATGATTCAAGTCACTGATGTCTTATGATTATGCTCAATCAGCTGTTCAGCAGGCAACATTGGTGTTTATGGCGCGTAGAATAGAGGACAAAAATCATGGACACTATGTCACGCTGCAGAATACAGTGTTGCCCACAATACAGTTGCTCAATCATGTCATAAGATTATCAATCTCTTAAACAATTAATAACTATTTAATTTGACGTTTGGCTGAAAAACGATTTTCTGCAAAGTTGTAGCTGATAAAAATTCCCATTATAATAGCATTTGAATTTGTTAACAGTACAATATGTAAAAAGGCTAGAAGACAATTAACAAAAAGTTTTGTTTTCCCATAGTAATTTCCATATAAACTTCAAATGGTTTGTGCCAAGTCAGTTTCTTATCAAATGAGTTTAAACTTTCGGAGGCTAATCAGGGCCCGATTTGAAACCGTTTGAACACTGTGGAGTGAAAATTTCAAATTTTGCATCAGTCTAATATATATCTAAGTGTTTTTACATTGTTGCTACCTTGGCAATTCAGTATTTTAAACAGGTTTTTTAAGCCTGCATGTCAGTATAACAACTGAAATCTTAGAACTAAAAACTAAAAACTAAAACTAAATCTTATCTAAGTACAAAGGGACTTAATCGTTGGAATTGAGGTTTGCAACGATTTTTGCCTGAAATTATTAATTATTTTGTTGAAAATTTGTTCTAAAGTCTCAACATTCGAAATTCTATGTACCTCGGTAGTACTGTACCAGGGAGGCAACTTCAAAATCATCTTCAGAACTTTGTTCTGAATCCTTTGAAGTGCTTTTTTCCTGGTAGTGCAACAACTAGGCTATATGGGCACAGTCGGTGTAAAAACTTGTTTAAATATTAGAAGTTTATTCGTCAGGCAAAGTTTGGATTTCCTGTTTATAAGAGGGTACAAACATTTAACATATTTGTTACATTTTGCTTGAATGGCCTCAATGTGATCTTTAAAAGTTAATTTTTGGTCAAGTACTAATCCAAGATATTTCACTTGGTTTGACCAGGAAATTGGAACTCCGTTCATAGTGACTATGTGACTACTACTAGGTTTCAAAAACGAAGCTCTAGGCTTATGTGGAAATATTATAAGTTGAGTTTTGGAAGCGTTGGGAGAAATCTTCCATTTTTGTAAATAAGAAGAGAAAATGTCTAAACTTTTCTGCTGCAAATAACACGAAGACTTCTTCCTTTAGCGGAAATGCCTGTGTCATCAGCGAACAAAGATTTGTGGCAACCCTGAGGCAAATCAGAGAGGTCCGAAGTGAAAATGTTATACAATATAGGCCCAAGAATGCTACCCTGAGGAACTCTTGCTCTAACAGGTAGTTGATTAGATTTGGAATTTTGATAATTTACCTGCAGAGTTCTGGCAGTTAAATAATTTTGAACTAATTTCATAATATAAAGTGGAAAATTAAACTTTTTCAATTTAGCAATTAAACCTTCATGCCAAACACTGTCAAATGCTTTTTCTATGTCCAGAAGAGCAACCCCAGTTGAGTGGCCTTCAGATTTGTTTGAACGAATTAAATTGGTAACTCTTAAGAGTTGATGATTAGTTGAATGCCCATGGCGAAATCCAAACTGCTCAGCTGTAAAAATTGAGTTCGTATTGATTTGATGCATCATTCTATTTAAAATTATCTTTTCAAAAAGTTTACTTATTGAAGAAAGCAAACTTATTGGACGGTAGCTAGAAGCTTCAGCTGGATTTTTATCCGGCTTAAAAATTGGAACAACTTTTGCATTTTTCCATTTATCAGGAAAGTATGCCAAATGGAAACATCTGTTAAATAATTTTACCAAGAAAGACAAGGTACTCTCTGGGAGTTTTTTGATGAGGATATAGAAAATTCCATCATAACTTGGAGCTTTCATATTACGAAACTTTTTAGTTATAGATCTTACTTCGTCCAAATCAGTCCCCCAGTTTTCGAGAGAAAATATTCATATAATCCCGCGCAACCTGATTCTCAATAGGACTAGTAAGACCCAAACTGAAAATATGGGAGCTCTTGAATTTCTTAGCAAGTTTCTGGGCTTTTTTTCGAATTTGTGATCAAAATTTCGCCACCTTCAAGTGCTGGAATAGGGTTTTTAGGTTTGAAACTCGGATCTAATTTAGAAACATTATTTAAAAAAAAAAAAATTTCCTCAGTGCAGAGAATCGCTTTTTAATTTGTTTTTGCAAATCCCGCCAGATAATTTTCGTGGCAGGATCGGGTGTTCTTTGATATTGTCTCCTGCGAACATTTTTCAGACGGATCAAGAGCTGAAGATTGTCGTCTATTATAATTGAATCGAATTTAAACTCGCATTTTGGTAATGAGGCAGCTCTTGCTTCAACTGTAGAAGTAGTCAGAGATTCAAGAGCATAATTAACATCATCTTTGATTTACAAAGGAATGTTTGGATCGAAGTTATATTCCATAAATGTCCGATATTGCTCCCAATCTGCTCTATGGTAATTGAAAGTAGAGCTGTTGGAATTAGAAATTATTTCTTGGGATATTTAAAAAGTTACTGAAAGCTGATCAGAACCGAAGTCAGCAAGGGTAACCAATTGGCTACAAAGTTGACATGAATCAGTTAAGATCAAATCAATAGTGGAGGGATTTCTTGCAGAAGAAAAGCATGTTGAGCTGTTTGGATATTGAATAGTGTAATATCCTGCAGAACAATCATCAAACAGAATATTACCATTGGAATTGCTTTGAGCATTACTCCATGAGCGGTGTTTTGCATTAAAATCACCAATAATGAAGAATTTAGACCTATGACGGATAAGTTTCTGAAGGTCACCCTTGAGAAAATTCTTTTGCTGGCCTACGCATTGGAATGGCAAATAGGCAGCTATAAACAAAAGTTGTCCAAATTTTGTTTCAACAGTTCAAAAATTTTGGTTTCAAATTAAGAAAGAATTTTATGTTTGATTCGTCTATGAACAATGATGGCAACGCCACCACAGGCTCCATCAAGACGATCATTTCTATAAATAAAATAATTTGCGTCCCTGTCAACCTTATGGTCAGGTTTAAGGAACGTTCCAGTTGCCGTTCTACAATATGCACGTTATGAACTCTCGAAATGTTAAATAGCTCGTCTTCATTATCCTTAAGAGATCGAGCATTCTAATTTAAAAAAAATCCATTACTGAATTTCAAAGTCATGACAATATTGTTTGCAAATTTTACTCCAGTTTGAATAGCATCAAACATGGAGTTAAATTTAAGCATATCAGTAATCATGTCCATTGATGATTTCTGTAAAAATTCCATTTTAGGAGCAGGAAGCTTCCTAAGTCAAAATTTTCAAAATTTCCGTTACAATAACGGTGGGTAGTATTATGATTTCTACCCGTTGCAATAGCAGCATAGGTAGCTCCATTTACTCGCTGAATATTGTCAGTAGCGAGGGGAGTAAGTATAGATGAAAGATTTGAAGCAGGGGTGATATTTGTAAATACGGGTACGAATGTAGAATTTGTTCCTCGCTGACCGTTGTTAACAGCAGAGGAATTTGTACCTGGTCTTACATT